GAGTTCTTCTCCCGCTTCACCGTCCCACGCTCCTACTCCAAGTGGACCAGCCGCCTCAAGTGCAACCTCTACTAGTACGATCCGCCTCCTCCCTCCCCTCCCCTGACTCCTCACCGTATTGGTGCCTAATTGCCTATTATACCTTTTTCCTTTCCTTGCCTCGTGTTAATCCACGATTTGCCCAGGACTCGCGTACTGTATTGAATTTGAATAGTGGCCCATGTTTTCGCCGCTTCCACTTGGATTTGTGGGCATCTAGAGTGAATTCTGCTGGATCAGGCGTTTCCCCCCCCCCGGAAAAGAGTAGATTAGTGTGTATGCACGCTCGAGTTTGTACTCCTTTTGGTAGCTCCAGACTGCAGGACATGTTGCTTGTACGGTTAATGCAGATAAATCGGGTGCAGATATCCCTGAGTGAACTGGCGAATTCCTTAGAGTGCATTTTCAGCCCTTGTTTCATTCTCATGGTTCACATACTGGCATAAGATGTCAAAGGCTATGAAAATGTATGCTGCTCATAGGTGTAAGCATTATATATTTTATAGTCCCAGCGAATCAGGTCGTGATTAAAGGAGTTACACAGGAGGACACTGTCTGGCTGTGGGTTAGCCTTTTTGAAAATTTTGATTGATGAATTGGTAGTTTCATGATACAGATTATCAGAGTGAGTAGCCCTCTGCGGGCTCAGCTTGTTTACTCGCTTACATATGCTATATTAGGATATGTTGGAATAAGCTTAGTTCTTCCAGATTTTTACATATGTTAAGTGGCTTACTCTTGGGGGAAGAAATGTGTGTATGTGCATATAAATTATGCACACCAGTGTCAGTCTTAGAGCTTTAACTTTGTGTAGGTCACGTAAAGCATAATACACAAGGCTTTTTTTTATTACTCTAGAACTAGATGCATCCAGCTTAGAGAGATGTATAGTGCACTAGCCAACTTGTTAGAAGGGCAAGTAGTTTCCATTACTTTGTGTCTAGAATTAATTTCTTAATTTTGATTTGCAGCTACAGGACAAACTATTTCATCTTGATCATGTTCATCCTTGGTAAGGAAAATGATATCTAAGCTTTCTTTTCCTCGTATTTATAGTTTGATATTGGCATGCTATAATGGGTTTATGCAGGGATGGGCTTCCTTTGGAAGCCAGTTGCTATCCTTGCTGCTTTTATGACTGGACTTAGCATCGCATTTCTCAATGATAGGTAAACAAATACCAGCTAAAACCATTTCTGTGATTGTGCCCTAATTCACTTCTCTTTGTAGTTTTTCAATTGTTCAGTTATTACACAGGTTCAGACCTCTCTTTACCCTGAACTAACAAAGAATCAAAGATATTGTGACGTTCATTCTTCTTTTAATAAAAATCATTCTTCTTTAAACTGAAGTAGCAGATAGCTAGTAGTTTTTCATCTTTGGATTAATGAAAAGCTGTTCAGCTACAGTTTGGTGCTAACCCTGTCTAGCAAATTATATAATAAACTATACTTTGGGAATTCTATTCGGTTCATCATTACTTTGTATGTACAAGTTAATGGGACATTGACAATTTGCAGTTTTCTAGTTCAATGATCTAGTTTTTTTTTTTTGTGTGTGGTTATGCTTTAAGCCATAGGTCCAGGTGTGTAGGAAGTTGAGAGCCATGATACTGTTTGATTCATAGAAACCAATACTGCACACATGATTTCATATTTGATCATGGCAGACCGCAGACTAAACCCCAAATTATACAATCTATCTGTGGATATATTGCATGATTCCCTTAAACCTGATTGTTTGCATCCGTCTGTGCATCTTTGCATTCAGTGGCCAATATGTCTTTTCTAAAAGTTTACTGACCTAAAGGGAGTATTATGTAAATTTAATTCGTGTGCTGCAGTTTGTTCCATCAGAATATTACGCTCCTTGATACATAAAGTGCTTTAGATTTTATATAGTTTTTTCAAAAGGACGGCAAAAGCTTTGCCATTGTTTTATTAGAAGAGATTGGGCCATGTTTTAAGGGAAAAACTGGGCCGAAAAGCTTTTTAGATTTTATATAGTGATAGAATTTTTGTTTCGAGAACACAGGAACATCTCTAAATAACACTGTAATTTCCTTCTAACAGTCCTCATTCCTTTATTCAGTCAATCAGTCCTAAGCTACCAAAAGACCAGATACGATGGAAGTACTTTTCATAACTTGTCTTTCTCGGAACAACTGAAATATTGGGAGTAATAAAGACAAACAATTGCATTCCCTACTCTTGAGTTCTCATTGGAAGATTTAACTGCCCGTTACTTAGATTGTAAATATGAACAGATGAATAGTATATCGTGCATTCGCACTGTACCTGCAGCAGTTATGATTTCCCTTGAGTTTATCTGTGATGCATGGTTCTCAAATTTTGTGCCAAGAAATCATCTGTTCTTTTCTAGTATATGATTATTATAAACTAATTATCGTGTTTGGTATTTCAGTTTTGCAGTCACTTTCAATGAGAAAGTCACAAGGACCGTAAGACAATTTTCACCACATTTAGCTGCAAAGATGAGGCCACCGATAACGTGGGTATCTTAGTTTCTGATGTTTCTTTTTTCTTTATATTTTATTGTTGGTAACTACAAAGTGATGCTAATATCATTTTTATTCAGTCCTGTTCTTCGTGGTCGACCAAGCTCGAAGAGGTCAATTCATATTTGTGGGCGACCTCGCTGGGTGTTTGTCCTGTTCTTTTCTGCAGGTGTGCAAACACTGGACCTGGACTTCATAAAATTCTATATCTCACCATAGTCTTCAAAACTGACACCACCTGTTTCCTTGGTTGCAGTTAGCTGTATACTCTGGTTGACCTCATGCAGTCTTCTCACAGTCCTCTGGGCACTTCTCATTGCTCTATTTGGTATGACCAGTGTATGGTTTTGAAATTTTGTGTATCGCGAACAATGCCCTTATGGTATTTTCTGTTGTCCACAGCAACTGTGCTCCATGCAAGCTTCAGAACACCAAATCTGAAAGCACGTCTGAATACATTCAGAGAGGAGTTCCGTGCTGTTTGGCGGAATTATAGTGAGCTTTAAGGTCTCCCTTTGTTTCTCTCATGTAAGTACCTCTCTGGCTTCTAGGTCCTCAGTTTATCAATACCTGTATTTCCCGCATCATTTGTTTCCATGGCATGCCATTTCAGTAGGTTAATGTGGCCTGCGTATTCCCTAGATGTAGATCCTCCACTTCCATAGCTTGTTGATTTAATGTATCTTTCATCACACCACAGGTTCATGTGGTAAGGAAAGGTGTCTCATGCTGAAACGTCCATGCTGTTTGTGAGTTGTGCTAGGAGATCTAGTTGAAGGTGAAACGCCATTGGACATTACTACATGGATTACTTGATCTTTCGGGTGGTGGGATTTTGGTTGGGTTGACTCCGAATGCGATGCTATGCCTTGCACACGATCCCTCAAGAACAATAATTTTTCTTTCAGATTTCTCCCTAACCGAGCATTGGAGAGAGGACACCATGTAAAGGATGTAAAAATGTACCAGTTCTCGATCAAAACGTATGTTGTTTGTTGAAATTATTACTAATCCGTATTGCATTCTCTTTTTTATTATTTATTTGGTGACTATAATTTTGCTTGAGCATTTGTGTCGAGTAAGTTGAGTTACAGCGACTAGCGAGTAGATACTTTCTATCCCTCCATTCGATCACTTTTGAGAAAATTGATATTTTTTAAAGACCCTGGGAAGGCTAGGGCCAACCAAGTAAATGTGATTCCTGTTCAGGGGGATGAAATTCTCCCCTTGGAAGAGCACGAGATAATAGGATGGCAAACCGAGGAGTCTGAAGATGAAAATGAAAACACCATATCTAATAGGAGAAAAACTATAATGCCTATAGAGTTAAAAGGGGGTCAACCTGCTTTGGCAAACGTAACTCTGAAGGAGATAAACCTATGGTTTGCCCTAAGATTCAATCTTAGAGATGGAGGCATGATTAAAAAAAAGAGCAAAAAACATCATAATGATAGGTATCATATGGAACTGTAGAGGATGGCCCAAGAAGGGCTTTTGATCACTTCCCTCATATCTAATTTGGTATTGCCACACCGACTTTATAGCCTTAAAGGTATGCAAGAGACCATGAAAAGGAGATGAACTAATATTTTTTTTAGAAAACTTGATCCATATAAAAACTTCTTATGGCACTAGAGTCCTTCTAATGGTAAATCTAGAGGTATGCTGAGTGGTGTCAGATCTGAAATGTTTGATCCGGAGAATTGTAAAGCCAGGGGGTTTATTATTATTGCAAATGATTATGGGAAAAAGTTGAATAAAAAATGGCCCCTGGCCAATGTCATAAAACTCAGTTCTTCACTGAACTTTCTAACTGCTGTTTGAAAGTGAAATATCCTCTAATTATTGGTGGTGATTTCAACATTCTGAGATTTGGTAATGAGAAGAACGAAAAGTTAAACACTAATAAATTTTTGATATGTTCAGTCGGATCATAAATACCCATGAGCTCAAAGAAATGAAATTAGTGGGTACGAAGTTTACTTGGAGTAATAACATACATGACCCTACTTTGGAAAAACTAGACAGTTCTAATCTCTGGATCCTAGGAACAGGACCTTCCCCTCTGTAACCTTAAGAAAATTCCAAGATACATGTCTGACCATAAGCCTCTTATCTTCAATTCTGAGCTAAATGGCAAACAAATCCTGAAACCTTTTTGCTTTGAAAATTCGTGATTAGAGCATGCTAATTTTATCCCCAAAATCGCTAAAATCCAGGGCAAGAACATTATTGCAAGTAATGCTGCAAAAAGATGGTGCATTGAAATGAACAGAATTAAGAGTTCCTCAAAGCGTGGAGGTTAAGTATCAAAGGGCATAGCAGAAAATATGTGAACAATCTCAAAGATGAGCTAAATAATTGGAAATTTTGGAAGAGGAGAGGAGCCTCCCTGCTGTGTTTCTTGCCAGGAAGTGTTTTATTCAAACTGAATTCTTAAAGTTTATGAAAGAAGAGGAGAGCCTCCATCATCTTGTGCTGCAGCTACATCAGCTTCATTCTCAGTTCTAATCAGATCCTCATTTTCCTCCAAAGCATCTGCAACGTCTAGCAATATTTTCTTTCGCTCATCCGATGATAAATTCTGTTTCATAAATGTCCAAAGTTAGTATAAAATATTCAGAAAAAAAGTGGGCTAGCACTTTGTGTCTTCCAGCAGGCATTGTCTTGATAAGATACCTGCGGACGCCTTGGACATTCTCTTGCAGCAACAGCCATCTCACGAGCACTGACATCTTGTTCGGCTTACCCAGAAACCAGCTTGTTCGCCTTGTTTTTTCAGCCGGAACAGTATTTTTCTCTCACAACAATTCAACCAGAACAGTGTTTTTCAGGCAGTTTCAGCCAAGTTTCAGCAAGCCGAACGGGGCTATGGAACTCTAACTTGCGTCCTTATGAAAGAGAGTACCAATTTTCTCTCCTTGGAGAACTCTAACGATGCTCTGAGATGCTAATCCACTTCAAGGATAAAAAGAAAGTCAAACCACTTCGCTATTCCTCGTAGAGACAAACATATATTACAACATATAAATTTACTTGTTCTGTCAAGGTGAAAAATGAACACTTATGACAAGCTAACTACTCAATCCATTTTGCAATGTTTGTCCATAACACACCAAGCGTAGGGACTAAGTACTATTTCCAAGAAAAATTCAAATTTAAAAGGACCAGCTATACCATAAATAACATGATATAGCTACTTCTCTTCTTTCAACACATCTAATTAAGGCAGAGTGGAAACATAGCAATAAGATGTAAGAAGCACTTGAGTCCAATGCAGTCTACACCAAATATACAGTGAGTCACACCAACTATCAGCTATTTTACTTATTAGTTGAACGTCACATGGGAATTTTGATATATAACATGGGGAACATATAAATGAGTAACGAAGGGCAGTTATCATTCTCTGGCTAAAGAACGACAAACGCAATGCATACCTTGTAATAACAACAGGTGTGCCACTCTTTGAAGCCACGAAAGCAGCCTTCACTTTAGCTGTCATTCCTCCACTACCTACACGTGACTTATCTCCAAAAATAATCTCATTGTGATGTTTCTCTTTGATGTAGGTATGTATTATCTTTGATTGAGGTTCACTTGGTGGACCACTGTAGAGGCCATCCACGTCACTGAGTAGAACAAGGAGATCTGCTTTGAGTTCTATAGCCAGAAGACTGGCTAAACTGTCATTATCCCAAAATATACCAGATGAATCCTGTAAAGACAAACTGTTGATGAGCATGACATCGAAAATGCTGTTAAGAATTTAACAGACTCATGCATTGGTTAAGGTCCAGGTGCATAAGTAGCACAGAATCACATTTATCAAGCAGTGCAGCAAATGCTGTTGAAATTTTCAAAGTCATTCATGGTACAACACAAACCTCATGGCATCATTATCATTAAATATTGGGACAACTTTAAGATCTAATAGTGACTCAGTTTCACGGAGCCTCTCCCGGAAGTTTGGATTCTCAAAATCACTGTGTGTCACAAGAAGTTGGGAAGCGGATACATCAAGCTGTATAACGGGAAGCTCAACATTAGAAACATATGGACAAGGCACAGAACTGTCGACAAATTTCAATAGCAACTTAACAAACACACTTGGGTAAATAGCATATCGTAAAGAGCCATGAGGCCACTCTGTCCAACGGCAGCGCAAGCCTTTCCATCCAGCTCCATCTGTTGCTTTTGCAGATCAGCAAAGCTGCTATTGACAAGCTTCCTTTCTTGAGCCTCTGCTTCCCCACACCAATAGCACCTGAGGTCACAATGATCACCTCGTATCCTAATGCATTCAACTCCATCACCTGCATTGCCAGGAATATTGGCTAAGAATCTTCCCAGGCTTGCACCATTTGATAGAACATTATGAAGGTTTGAATTAGAACTGCTACCTGCTCACAAAGAGCTCCTAGCCTGCCCAAGGCCAGTCGACCATCATGCCTTGTGACAACTGCAGTGCCCAACTGAGTGCTATAAAAAAACACGATTAGAAAACACAGCAGAATATGAATAATGCAATGCAAATAGCACCAAACAAATCGCTATTTAGATCTAACAGGTCGGCCGCCGGCACCAATCGGACGATCCAATCACCTTGATGATGGCGCGTTTGACGTCTTTCATGAAAGTCCGGGTCTGATCCGCGGTGGCCATGGCCGCCGCCGGCGCTTTTAGCTCGACGCCGCTCCTGGTCCTCCGTCTCCCCCCGCTGTCAACTTCGCCCTCTCTTATCCGTTTCGTGGCGTTTGGATTGTGGGAAATAGAGGGTGCATTTCCTTATCCCCAACCCTGCAACTATCCAAACAAGGGATACAATCTCCTACCCCTTTGCATGAGCACCACAATCCAAACGCCACGTCAGAGATAGAGGCATGATTAAAAAATAAATAAAAACCATCATAATAATAGTATCATTTGGAACTGTAGAGGACTGTCCAAGAAGGGCTTTTGATCACTTCCCTCATATTTAGTTTGGGATTGCCACACCGATTTTATAGCCTTAAAGGTTTGCAAGAGACCATGAAAAGGAGATACAGGGCCTGTTTGGCAGGGCTCTGGCTCCTCTGAAAATAGCTCCGGCTCTGGCTCCTCTGAAGGAGCAGCTCCTCTGGAGGAGCTGAAGCCGTTCTAGAAAACGTTTGGCAAAACGGCTCCTTCGCACTAGACGACGTGAACCCACAGCAAGGAGCCGCGCGAAGCTCGTTTTTTAAGCTTCTCCTGCGCAGGCAAAAAATGATTCCGGCTCTTGATCGGCTCCCCATGCGGAGCCCTTTTCAAAACAGGTGTTTGGCACAGCTCCTATAGGAGCCGGAGCTGAAGCCCTACAGGAGCCGTGCCAAAGAGGCTCACACTGATAACTTTTTTAGAAAACTTGACCCATAGCAAAACTTCTTATGGCACAGGAGTCCTTCTAATGGTAAATCTAGAGGTATGCCGAGTGGTGTCAGATCTGAAATGTTTGATCTAGAGAATTGTAAAGCTAGGGAGTTTATTATAATTGCAAATGTTTGTGGAAAAAAAGTTGAATAAAAAGTGGCCCCTGGCCAATGTCATAAAACCCAGTTCTTCACTGAACTTTCTAGCTGCTGTTTGAAAGTGAAATATCCTCTAATTATTGGTGGTGATTTCAACATTCTGAGATTCAGTAATGACAAGAACATGAAGTTAAACATTAATAAATTTTTGATATGTTCAATCGGATCATAAATTCCCATGAGCTCAAAGAATGAAATTAGTGGGCAAGAAGTTTACTTGGAGTAATAACATACATGACCCTACTTTGGAAAAACTAAACAGTTCTAATCTCTGGATCCTAGGAACATGACCTTCCCCTCTGCAACCTTAAGAAAATTCCAAGATACATGTCTGACCATAAGCCTCTTATCTTCAATTCTGAGCTAAATGGCAAACAAATCTTGAAACCATTTTGCTTAGAAAATTCGTGGCTAGTGCATGCTAATTTTATCCCCAAAATCACTAAAATCCAGGGCAAGAACATTACTGCAAGTGATGCTGCAAAAAGATGGTGCATTGAAATGAATAGAATTAAGAGTTCCTCAAAGTGTGGAGGTTAAGTATCAAAGGGCATAGCAGAAAATAGAAGAACAATCTCCAAGATGAGCTAAGTAAATTGGAAATTTTGGAAGAGGAGAGGAGCCTCCATGCCATACTTCTTGCTAGGAAGTCTTTTATTCAAACTGAATTCTTAAAGTTTATGGAAGAAGAGGAGAGTTACTGGCATAGAAGAACTAATTCCACTTGGTAGCTTAAGGGGGACAACAACACACAATATTCCTGGAGTAGCTAATGGAAAAAAGAGGGGAAATATCATTTTCGTCTTATAATGAATATAATATCATGGAGGGTGATGAACAAATTGTTGAACATGCCACAAACTACTATAAAAATCTCTTTGGCACAGATGACAAGCCTAATTTCTCGATGGATCCGCTTGCTCGTAAACGATCGTAAATTTCCAGTCGGGAACAGTGTTTTTCTCTCACACCAAATCAGCCAGCAGTAAATAATCCACGATACGATACGGCCTCCCGAACAGGTTGCATATCCTAGGAGAAGATATCTAAGGAGGGGAGTGTTGAGTTGACCAAGCATTTCACTGTCAATGAGCTTAAAGTGGTAGTTTTTTTCTATAGGAATACTGCGCCTGGCCCTGACCCCCATTAAATTTTACCAACACTGTTAGCATATCATTAAAGATGATCTCATGATCTTGTTTCATGAGTTCCATGACCAAAATTTAAACTTAGGCAAATTCAATTATGGCTTGATTACTCTCCTTCCAAAGGTCAAAGAGGCAAATAACATACAATAGTACAAACCTATATGTCTGTTCAATGTCATCTATAAGATTTTCACCAAAGCGCTCATGCAAAGATTATATAAGGTTATGGGGAGAATGATTAATAGATGCCAATCTGGCTTTCTAAAAGAAATAAATATCATGGATGGGATTATGGCTCTTCATGAGATTTTACATGACACAAGAATTAGGAAGAAAAAAAAGGATGGTTTGTTGCTGAAATTAGACTTTGAGAAAGCTTGTTACTTCATGAGAATGTCATCTATAAGACTTTGAGAAATTAGTACAAGATAAACTAGGACTTATGTCGATAAAAGATGCTCGGCAGTCCTCCGAGGGGTATCCCACAAAGGTAGATTGATCGGTGGCGGTGCGCGTGACAGGAACCGGATGGTGACACAAGGCGCAGAGACAACAATTTAGACAGGTTTGGGCCGTCTGATCGACGTAATACCCTACGTCATGTGTCGTTGTTGGATTGTATTGAATATGAGATATATGTAGATGACGACTAGGGGACCCCTGTCTCTCCTTATATACTCTGGAAGGGTATGGTTACAAGGAAAGTATCATATTTGGTACTATACAATATATTGCGGTGCACGTCGACCAGTGCCGTGCACGCCTTGATCTTGTGGGCTGGGCCACCTCTGATGGTGCGACCCATGTCATGTCTTATGGATACCGGGGGTCCTATCCTCCCAACTTATGTTTGATTGCATTAGACAAATAGGTTTTAATGAAAGATGGTGTAAATGGATACAACTTGTCATATTGAGACTCTTAAAGCCAAAGTGATTAATACTAATGACACATTTCGCCAAAAAAAAAAAAATCGACAACTGAATCCAAAAATTGAGACTCTAGAACTCTATCAAACTTATCGTGAGGGCTTGGCCTTTGGTCATGTATTTGGAGAAAATTACATGTCGTGGTTTGGTATGTTCTGTCTTTTTAGTTAATATATTATTTTGGGTTTTGCCATGCCTCCCTGTACCGTTTGGGATTAGGGGCATTGGTAATATTAGCCTGCATGTTATCGCCATCATAAACTTTGCATTCGTTACTTTTATAATTCTGTTGCCCTAGTAATGAAATTTTGGTTTCCCGTTTTGGAAAAACAAAAAGGGACCCCCTCCATTTGGTTTCAAATTATAGTTCATTTTAGCTTTGTCATATTTTTTTTTTCTAACTTTGATCAAGTTTTCAGAAAAATATATTATCTATAATTTTTTAAGTAAATGCAATACCAAGATACCTTCAATGGAAAATTCAAATTTAAATAAAAATAATTTGAAATTGCATATGTTGGCATGTTTTCAATACTTGGTCAAAATTGGATAAGTTTGATCTCTTAATAATGATCCATAAAGCTTTGCTTCGGTGCAGCTAATATAGTACACAGAAAGGGGTGCTAGGAAGCACACTGCTTGGTCTAACTCGATCTATATAAACAAGATAAAAACACAATGAAATAGTTTTATTCCGTCGACTGGCAAAATATTAGAGAGCACTAACTTCAATAATCCGTCATTTTGAACGGAACCTTGTTCTCAAGAAGATTTCGCCATCTGGGGACATTTGAACTAGCCTTATATTCTACGCAATCATACAGAATTGGTAGCTACAAAATGGTAGGCAGCTGATTGTAACACAGACGGAACAAAATCTCAAATGAAGGTAATCTACAGCAATGAACACTTCTACTCGCAGTTGCTCCATTCCTGTGAAACTCAAGCAAAGATTCTCGCAGGTCGAGCACTGGCCCAATCAAATTGAGCAGTCTGATTATGTGGCAAAGCTTCTGTCGCCAGCATCCCCCAGTCCCGGAACTATAAAACTGTGGGCACAAAATAACAATAATCAGCAGAAGCAAGGACCAAATGGGGTATTTATGCAGCAATAATAATTACTAATACGTCTTCCATGAGTTTTGCAATGAGCTGGTAAGTTTAGAACAATACCCTTTCTCATTTACTTCCGGATCAATTATTCCTGTGTACACGTGGAGCCTGGAATGGAAGATAATTGTAAATGCTGCATGCAGCATGTAGGTGAACTTGTTATAACACATAAGATTGTCTATTTCTTACCCAGGGAACTTGTTATTGAGCTTTTGCAGTGCAGGAGGTGATGCAACAGCAGATACCTGAATTGGGGGAGGCGTTAGAGATTGATAAAATGGTTAAGTAACAGAAGCATATGGAGGTTTTGACGAACTTACAACTTTAATCTGCTTGCTGGTAACTCCGCGCTCGATTAACAAGTCAATAGCAGCAACCATTGTCCCACCTAAAGAAACAAATGTAACCATGATTCTTAGAGATTTATACAGCAATAGTCTAGAATTTTTATTTCTACTCCTTTCATATCTGGAAAAGAAAAGCAATTTATCATATATCACAACTTGTTTAGCACCACGTTGTTCAACCACTAAACAGTTTTTTTGTGCATAATGCTAGTTACGTACAGGAACTTATTTTTAATTTTCGTTTTGGGAAATTGGTATGTTCAAATTTAAGAACCTTAGGCAGAACACGAATTGTTTATGCAGAGCTAAATGTTTACCAGTGGCCAGCATTGGGTCAACAACTAGTAGACGAGTCCCCTCTGGAATCTTGTCTGGCAGGCTGGATTGAAAGAAGAAAAAGAAAGAAATGTTAGGGGTGCTCTAATTAGTGTAGGCATTTAACTATTTATGAAATTTTACAGTGCTGAACAGATCAGCACAATAAAGTGATATTAGTTAACACAAAGAATGGTAGATGTTATAATGAATAACTACCACATATTATAATTTTAATCAAGATAGCAATGGGACCCTTGTGTGCTA